AAAAATCAATAACAAGGGAAACTTTGGGAACAGCACAAACTGATGGAAGTTAAACAACATGCTCCAGAATGACCAATGAGTCAATAAAGAAATTAAAAAGCAAAGTTTAAAAATTTATTGAAACTAATTAAAATGGAAATACAATAGAGCAGCCAGTGCAGTGGCTCACATCTATAATCCCAGCACTTTGGGAGGCCAAGGTGGACAGATCACCTGAGGTTGGGAACTCAAGACCAGCCTGGTCAACATGGTGAAACCCCATCTCTACTAACAATATAAATGTAGCCAGGTATGGTGGCAGCATCTGTAATCCCACCTACTCATAAGACTGAGGCAGAAGAATCACTTGAACCCAGACGTGAAGATTGCAGTGAGCTGGGATTCTGCCACTGCACTCCAGCCTGGGCAACAAAGTAAGACTCCATCTCAAAAAAAAAAAAGAAAAAAAAGAAACACAACATATCAAAACCTATAGGATACAGCCAAAGGAGTATAAGAGGGAAGTTTATAGCAACAAACACCTACACCAAAAAGTAGTAAATTTTCAAATGAACAACCTAATGTCGTACCTCAAGGAACTAAAGAAGCAAGAACAAACCAAATCCAATCTAAGTACAAAAAAAATAATAAAGATCAGGACAGAAATAAATTATTTAAAAACTAAAAAAAATATAAAAGATCAATGAAACAAAAAGCTGGTTTTTAAAAAAGGTAAACAGGCTAGGTGTGGTGGCTCATGCCTGTAATCTCAGCACTTTGGGAGGCTGAGGCAGGTGGATCACCTGAGGCCGAGAGTTCAAGACCAGCCTGACCAACATGAAGAAACCCTGTTTCTACTAAAAACACAAAATTAGCTGAGTGTGGTGGTGGATGCCTGTAATTCCAGCTACTTGGGAGGCTGAGGCAGGAGAATTGCTTGAACTCAGGAGGCAGAGGTTGAGGTGATCACACCATTGATCACACCATTGCCAAGATCACACCATTGCACTCCAGCCTGGACACCAAGAGCGAAACTCCACTTCAAAAAAATAAAGAAAAGATAAACAAAATTGAAAAACCATTAGCTAGACTACCTAACAAAAAAAAATCTAAATAAATCAAATTAAAAATGAAAGAGGAGACATTAAAACTGATACCACAGAAATACAAGGATCATTAAAGACTATCATAAACAACTATATGCCAACAAATTAGAAAACCTAGAAAAAATGGAGAAATTCCTGGACACATGCAACCTATCAAGATTGAACCAGGAAGAGGCAGAAAACTTGAACAAAGCAATAACAAAGAACAAGACTGAATCAATAATAAAAAGTCTCTCAACAAAGAGAAGACAAGAACTGATTGACTTCACTGCTGAATTCTACCAAACTTTTAAAGAATTAACATGTATTCTTCTTATACTATTCCAAAAACATGAAAAGGAGGGAATTCTTCCAAATTCATTCTACAAGGCCAATATTACCCTAATGCAAAATCCAGACAAAAACATAACAAAAAAAGAAAACTACGGGCTAATATTCCTGATGAACATAGATGCAAAAATCTTCAAAAAAGAAGTAGTAAACTAAATCCAACAGTGCATCAAAAAGATTAATACATCATGATCAAGTGAGATTTATCCCAGAGATGCAAGGGTGATTCAATATATGCAAATCAATAAACGTGATGCATCACACAAAGAGAATGAAGAACAAAAACACATGATCATTTCAATAGGGACAGAAAAAGCATTTGATAAAACTCAACATCCCTTTACGATAAAAACTCTCAACACATTAGGCATAGAAGAAATTTGCCTCAGTGTAATGAAGTCCACATATGACAAACTTACAACTAAGTTTTCAACTTTTCCTCTAATAGCTGGAACAATATAAAGGTGACTACTTTCCCCACTACAATTTAACAATGCATTATAAGTCCTAGTCAGAGCAATTAGGCAAAACCAAAGGGCATCAAAATTGGAAAGAAAGGAAGTCAAATTGTCTTTTTGCAGACAATGTGATCTTATAAGCAGAAAAACCTAAGGACTCTGCCAAAAACTCATAGAACTGATAGACAAATTCAGTAAAATTGCAGTATACAAAATCAACATACATAAAGTATTAGCATTTCTATACACCAATAACAAACTAGCTTAAAAAGAAACCAACAAAGCAATTACATTTTCAATAGCTATGAAAAATATTACATAGGAATAAAATTAACCAAGCAGGTGAAAGATCTCCACAATAAGAACTAAAAAGTACCGATGAAAGAAATGAAAGAAGACACAAAAAAATGGAAAGAAATACCATGTTCATGGATTGAAAAAATTAATATTATTAAAAATGACCATACTCAAATCGAGCGACAGATTCAAAACAATCCCTATCAAAATACCACTGACATTCTTCACAGAAATAGAAAAAATAATCCTAAAATGTATATGGAACCACAAAAGACCCAAACAACCAAAGCAATCCTGACTAAAAAGGACAAAGTTGGTAGCATCACATTATCTGACTTCAAAATATATTATAAATATGCTGTAACAAAGCAGCATGGTACTGGCATAAAAGCAGGTACATGGATCAATGAAACAGAACAGAGAACCCAGAAATAAATCCACATATTTATAATCAACTGATTTTTAACAAAGTCACCAAAACCATACACTGCAGAAACAGTCTCTTCAATAAATGGTGCTGGATAAACTGGATGTCTGGATACACAGAAAAATGAAACCCTTATCTCTCACCATATACAAAAATCAACTCGAAATGGATTAAAGATTAAATATGAGACTCTGAACTGTAAAACTATTAGAAGAATGTACAAGGAGAAATACTTCAAAACATTGGTCTAAGAAAAGATTTTATGGATATAATCTCCAAAGCATAGGCAACAAAAGCAAAAATAGACAAATGGGATTATATCAAACTAAACACATACACGCACACACAAATAATCTGATTTTAAAATGGGAAAATGATTCTAAATAGATATTTATCAACAGAAGACATTCAAACGACCAACAAGTACATGAAAAATGCTCAACATCATTAATCATCAAATGCAAATTAAAAAAACCCCAGTGTGATATAATCTCATTCCAGTTAGAATGACTATTAACAAAACGACAAAAAAAAAAAAAATCAAATTCTGGCAAGGATGCAGAGAAAAGGAAACTTGTATACACTGTTGAACTGTAAATTACCATAGCCATTATTGAAAAAGTATGGAGGTCCCTCAAAAACCTAGAAATAGAACTACCACATGATCCAGGAGTCTCACTATGGGGTATAAATCCAAAAAAAAGGAAATCAGTATATTGAACAGATATCTGTACTCCTATGTTTATTGCAGCCCTATTCACAATAACCAATACAAAAGTGTCCATTAACAGATGAATGGATAAAGAAAATGTGTTATATATACACAATGGAATACTATTTGGCCATAAAAAAATGAGATCCTGTCATTTGCAACAACATTGATGAACTCAGAGCACTTTATGTTAAGCGAAATAAGCCAGGCACAGAAAGATAAAAACATGTTCTTACTCATGTTCTCCACATGTTCTTACTCATTTTCAAAAGCTAAAAAAGTTGATCTCAGAAGTAGAAAGTAGAATAGCGATTATAAAGGCTGGGAAGGGTATAGGTGGCATAGCGAGAGATTCTTTAAAGGATACAAAATTATCAGTAGATAGGGAAAATAAGTTCTTGTGTTCCACAGCACTGTAAGGTGATTGTAGCAAGCAATAATTTATTGTATATTTTCAAATAGTTAGAAAAAGGGGTTTTGAATGTTCCCAGGGCAAAGAAATAATAAATGTTTGAGAAGATAGATATGCTAATTACCTTGATTTGATACTTGTAAATTGTATATAACAAAATACCACTCTGTACCCCACAATTATGTACAATTTTTGTCAATGAAAATATTTTAAAAGATAATTTGATTTAATATTTTGTTTCACAGATGAAGAAACTAAGGCTCAAGGAGGTTACACAACTAGACCAATATCAACAGAGAGTTGGTGTTAAAGCTGAACTAAAATCCAGTTTTGAGGGGTTTGTTTTTGGTTTTTGTTGTTGTTGTTGTTGTTGTTGTTTTGAGACAGAGTCTCATGCTCTTACCCAGGCTAGAGTGCAGTGACACAATCATGGCTCACTGCAACCTTGACCTCCTGGGCTCAAGCAATCCTCCCATCTCAGCCTCCCAAGTAACTGTTACTACAGGTGTGTGTCACTGCACATGGCTAATTTTACAAAAAAAGAATTTGTAGAGGCAGCATCTTTTTTAATTGCCTATGCTGGTCTTGAACTCCTGGGCTCAAACAATCCTCCTGCCTTGGCCTCCCAAAGTGCTGGAATTCTGTTAAGTATCTTTTCACACCTCAGTGGAATAAAACTAGAAATGAGTCACCATGCCAGGCCCTAAAGTCCAGCTTTTTGACATTTTTTTATTCTCTACTGAGAGCTAACAGGATTTTTAAAGTGTGGAAATTAGATTAGAGCATTTCAAATAAGCCCTGGCATGGTAGCTCATGCCTATAATCCCAACATTTTGGGAGGCCAAGGTAGGAGGATCACTTGAGGTCAGGAGTTCGAGACCAGCCTGGCCAACATGGTAAAATCCCGCCTTTACTAAAAATTTACAAAAATTAGCTGGGCATAGTGGCCTATGCCTGTAATCCTAGCTACTAGGAAGGATGAGACAGGAGAATCACTTGAGCCCAGGAGGTGGAGGTTGCAGTGAGCCAAGATCGCACCACTGCACTCCAGCCTGGGTGACAGAAAGAGACTCTGTCGAAAGAAGAAAGAAAGAAAGAAAAAGAAAGAGAGAGAGAGAGACAGAGAGAGAGAGAGAGAGAAAGAAAGAAGGAAAGAAAGTTTCAAATAAAACAATCACAGTGAATCCAAGACATTTTTTAAAAGGGAAAGAAAATTCTATATTTTGAGAATGATTTTAGCAAAAATCTTATCTACAAGGAAAGTTGGTTATTTTCTCACCTTGAAAAACTGCCTGGAGTTACAATAACACATCTGTTCTTCTCCATTCTTTCGATTTAGCCAAAAGCTTCTTTTGCCACAGATCATATTTTGGCTTGATCTAGGGGACAAACATGTTCACATAAAGTTACAACATAACAGAATGATTCTCAATAAAAGTTGCAAGCAAAGATATTCAAGGACCTTCTGAAATGGTAACTGGCCATGGTTGCTAGATTGGCTAGGACTAGTGAGGTTTTGGAAGGGGTCTTCATGGGTTCACAAATTCACTGAAGGAGACAGAAGCACCAGTTCCTGTTAATGCCTTGCCTATGAGATGTATCTGGGATGACACTATACCAACCACAAGCAGCATGGACCCCAAATCCATCAGAGTTGGTCATTGCACTTTATTTACAGGGCAAGAGAAGTTTACCCACAGACTCCTTGTGACTCCACATTTAAAACAGCTTTCATGGCCGGGAGTGGTGGCTCATGCCTGTAATCCCAACACTTTGGGAGGCTGAGGTGGGCAGATCACAGGTCAGGAGATGGAGACCATCCTGGCCAACATGGGGAAGCTCTGTCTCTACTAAAAAAAAAATACAAAAATAAGCTGGGGGTGGTGGCTCACACCTTTAGTGTTAGCTACTTAGAAGGCTGAGGCAGGAGAATCACTTGAGCCTGGTAGCCAGAGTTTGCAGTGAGCTGAGATTGTGCCACTGCACTCCAGCCTGGGTGACAAAGCGAGACTCCATCTCAAAAAAAAAATTTATATTAATAAACTGTATTTAAAAAATCAGTTCTGTTGCTGTAAATACCATTAACACTCAAATTTATATCTCAGCCCTAAATTCCAGCCTATTATATCCAACTACTCCTTTGATATCTATACTTGAATGCCAAGTTTAACAATCTAAAACAGAAAGTCAGGCTTCCCTTACATGGACTACCGTGTTCCTCAAGCACTAGATGGACCTAGGAGTGATCTTTGATTTGTCTCAGTCTATCTTTATTCACTGTTATGGTCTGAATGTGTTCCTCTAAAATTTAAATGCTGAAACCTAACCCCCAAGGTGATGGCATTAGTAATAGAATTTGGGGATGTGATGAGATCATGATGGTAGAGCTCTCATGAACAGTATTCATGCCCTTATAAAAGAGGCCTGAGAGACCTTGATTTTTTTCTTTTTTCTTTTTTTTAAGACAAAGTCTCACTCTATTGGCAGGCTGGACTGCAGTGTTGCAATCTCGGCTCCCTGCAACCTCTGCCTCCCAGGTTCAAGCGATTCCCCTGCCTCAGCCTCCCAAGTAGCTGGGACTACAGGCATGTGCCACCACACCCGGCTAATTTTTGTATGTTAGTAGAGACAGGGTTTCACCACGTTGGCCAGGATGGTCTCAATCTCCTGACCTCGTGATCTGCCCACGCTGGCCTCCCAAAGTGCTGGGATTACAGGCATGAGCCACCGCACCTGGACGAGCTTGGTTTTTTTCTTCCACCATGTGAGGACACAGGGAGAAGTCAGAAGTCTGTAACCTGGAAGAGGACCCTTCAGAACTTGACCATGCTGGCTCCCTAATCTTGGATTTCCCTGCCTCTAGAACTGTGAGAAATATATCTCTGTTCTTTATAAGCTACCCAGTTTATGGTATTTTGTTAAAGCAGCCTGAATAGACTAAAAGAATCATACAAGATTTTCCTTTTTTTCATAATGCAAGCAATCCTTGTTGTTTGTGGATTCCACATTTGTGCTTTTGCCTACTATCTAACATTTTTTTGTGACCCAAAACTCAATACTAGTAGAGCTTTCATAGTCACTCATAGGTGTGTGCAGGTGAAAATTTGAGTAACCTAGTGGGCATATTCCCAACTGTTTGAACAAGGCAACACTCGGCCTTCTTGTTTCTGCTCGTATATTACAAACAAGGATCCTTTTCATGGTCCCTTAGAACTACATTCTTCACATTTTTTGTGTGCTTTTTGGTGGTAATTTGACTGTTGAAAATGATCCCCATGTGTAGTGCCAAAGTAATATCTAATGTTCCTAAGCATAAGAAGACTGTGTTCTGTGCCTTTTGGAAAAAATACACGTGTTAGATAAGGTTCGTTCAGGCATGAATTTATAGTGCTGTTAGTCATTAGCTCAATGTTAATAAATCAGCAATATATTTTAAATAAGATGTATTTAAACAGAAACACACGTAAAACAGTTATGTATTGATAAGTGTTCAGACAAGAGGTTCACAAGACAAGCCCTATTTCCCCTAGGAGTGATGATTCAATATTTGCTCACTCGGTGTTCCTGATGACTTTCTAGAACACAACTACCTCAAATAATGAGAATTGATCATACTTAGCACCACCTAAAACAATCTTATTTAGTTTGCTTACTTGCATATTGTTTGTGAATTGTGTTATCTTCAGCACAAAGGGCCATACCTGACCTACAATATGTATCAAATAGTTTTTGACTCAACAGTTGGATTTACGCAAGTCAATTACACCCTTGGCTATTAAGCTTAGTTCTTGCCAAGTATCTGAGATCATTAGTAGTAAGCAGGGAGTTTGGGCCCATTAAAGTGGGGTACAGGCATCTGGAGAACCTTCAGAGAAGGCAGATCAGCATAGCAAACTTCAACATAGAGCCAGGGCAGGCAAAGAGCTGGGAGACTGTGGCTCACAAAGCCAGGTTCTCTGAGTTGCCTCCCCTGAGGACAGGGAGGCATCTCCCCTAGTTGAAGAGGACAGTTTGCTGAGGGCACTAAGGAGAGGGGACAACAGGGACCACATAAACCTGCTGCTGCCAGGTTGCCTGACCTGCTTAGACGACACTGAGACACTGCTGACATCACTGACAGATGACTATCACCACGAGTCACTTTACCTTTACGAAGGAAATCCAGTGGGCTCTCTTTTTCAGGGTCATACCGGGTCCTGCCAAACCCAAATTATCTGCTTTAGCCATTGCAGCTTCATAGTCTGGAAGTATTTGCATTCTCTGTTGCTCCATGGAGATGTTTTGAAAGACAGCTACTGATTGTCTTTGAAATAGCCTTGGAATCAAACTAATTTATAAAACACAACTCTGTAATAGCGATAGGGCCTTAAAAAGCATACCTGTGTGGGGCATGTTCTCAGTCAGCTCATTACCATAATTGTGCATATTACTTATACTGAATGTCTGCTCCAGAGATTGGAAATATATGAATGCATTTATTTATATCTATTTTGAACTGGAACCTAAATATAAGTGAGAAGTAAATTGTCCACCTTTGGAAATGCATTCACTTTTTCCAACCACCTGATAAAACTATTACAGAATATCTAAGGATTAAACGAATTCTGCTTTCAGAGGCTTTACGAGGATGTAGCTAGAGAGTTGTCCAGATGCTAGAATCTGTTAAACTTTTTAAGGCATCTCAACCTATTCCCTTCATAGCTTACTTTCAGACTGAGGCTACAAGTACTTTCTATGACATCGATTCCTACTGTCAAAATGCTGAACATTCCTTCTTCCCTTAAGGGTGGGTCTCTGTGGTAGCGCCATCATCACTGTGCTTGCCACGTTGTGTCAGGATTTCCTCACTACATGGTGAGCCCCATTCAGGGCATAGACTATGAATGTCAAGAACTCGACACATGGTGATGTCCACACAACAATGCGAATGTACTTAATGCCACTGAACTAAACACTTAACAGCCAAAATGGTAAATTTTGTTATGTTATTTTACCACTCATGTGTGTACATGTACACACACACAGTAAGAACCTACCACACTGCTGACACATACTTGGGCCTCAACAAAGGTTTCCGGAATGAGTGAGAAAATTTGTGAGTCACAGAGCTGAAGTTTCTTCCACTTAATGCCGGTACCCCTGAGGTTGTGCTATTCAGTGCTGTGGACCCTAGCCACATGTGGCTGTTTAACATTGAAATATGAATTAATAAGAATGAAATAAAATTTGAAATCTAGTTTTTCAGTTGTGCTAACCACATTCCAAGTGCTCAAATAACTCTTAGTGTATGTGACTAGTGGTTAACATGGGATGGCACAAAGGCAGAACACATCCATCACTGCATGAAATTCAGCGAGACAGTGTGCTGGTCTATGACTGGGTGGGCAATTTCTTAAAGGGCCAGACAGTAGATATTTTAGCCTTTACAGACCATAAGGTCTCTGTCACAAATACTCAAGTCTGCTGTTGTAGTGTGAAAGCACCCGTAGACAATACATATATGAATAGGCATGGCTCTTCCTATGGTCTGAATGTTTGTGTCCCCACAAAATTCATGTGTTGAAATCCTAACCCCAAGGCAATGGTATTAGGAGGTGGGAATTTGGGGAGGTTATTGGGTCATGAAGGTGAAGCCTTCACGAATAGAATCAGAGCCTTTATAGAAGAAGCCTGAGAGGCTCTTGCCCTTCAACCACGTGAGGACACAGTAAGAAGCCCCCACCTGTGAGCCAGAAAGTGGGCCCTCGCCAGACATCAGACTACCTTGATCTTGAACTTTCCAGTCCCCAGAACTGTAAGAAATAAATTTCTGTTGTTTATAAGCCACTCCATTTATGGTATTTTATTAGAGTATCCTGAATGAACCTAAGACTGCTGCATTCCAAAACAACCTATCTTAAAAAAACCAGGTGAGGGCTGTCATTTGCTGACCCTGCTCTCGGGCATTAGAGTATCAGAATAAACAGCACCTAAACATAGGAGCTCTTCCTATGCAAAAAAGTTGGTGTAATGTGATTGGTTATCTTGGAACACGATTAGTATTTCACATAATACTGTCATAAGAAAATTGAAAGTGGAAATCATCACCATAAAAAGGAGACAAGCTGTTCTTTGGGAACAACGTGGTTTTATTGTAGTGCTCCGCCAGACTCATGTTCTCCTGTTTATCATTAATAATAGTCTTCTGGGCTATAATTAACTTTTATTTATTTTGGTTCTACTTAGACACCATCATATTCTGATTCTGTGTTTTGCCTATCATAATCCTTGATGATAATTAGGGTGAGGATGCTCCCACAGAAACACTCTGCTGGAGACAGTGCTGCTGGTGGCATGAAAAGAAAGGCAAAAGCTAAACATCATCACCTTCAAGGAAACAAGAGGACATATGATACCACTGGTTTCAGTGAGCTTAAAGAGGCTGTGTTACATATTAATAAAAATCATCCTGGGCCAGGCGCAGTGGTTCATACCTGTAATTCCTGCACTCTGGGAGGCCAAGGCGGGTAGATCACTTGAGGTCAGGAGTTCAAGACCAGCCTGGCCAACATGGTGAAACCCTGTCTCTACTAAAAATACAAAAATCAGCTGAATGTGGTGGCATGTGCCTGTAATCCCAGCTACTTGGGAGGCTCAGGCAGGAGAATTGCTTAAACATGGGAGGCAGAGGTTTCAGTGAGCCAAGATCGAGCCACTATACTCCAGCTTGGGTGACAGAGCAAGACTCCGCCTCAAACGCACGCACACACACACACACACACACACACACACACACACACACATACACGCACAATTTTGGTATATGCTGGAACAAATGGAAATGCAAGTGAAATTTCAAAGTCAAGCAAACGGCGATAGCACAGACGGTGGCTTACTTCTTACTTGAAGAGCATTCAAAACCATTCAGATCTTATTTTTACCTGTTTGGATCCATCAGTTTCTTAATTTTTAATTTCTTTTTACTTGATCCATCAATTTCTCATTTTCACCTAGCAAATATATATACTTCCAAATAATATACAACTAGAGCTACAAAAATCTTTATTATTGAAACTTTTGCTATTACAAATCTGAAGCTTGGCCAGGTGTGGTGGCTCATCCCAGTAATCCCAGCACCTTAGGAAGCCAAGGCAGGCGGATCACCTGAGGCCAGAGTTCAAGACCAGCCTGGCCAATTTGGCAACCCCATCTCTACCAAAGATACAAAAATTAGCCAGGTGTGGCTGAGGCAGGAAAATTGCTTGGACCCGGGAGGCGGAGGTTCCAGTGAGCCAAGATTGCACCAGTGTACTCCAGCCTGGGTGACAGAGCGAGACCCTATCTCGAAAAACAATATTTTAAAGATCTGAAGCTAGGGTGTCAATTTTAGATCTTTCATCACTTCTCATAGGGGTATTTAGTGCTATAAATTTCCCTCTGGACACTGCTTTAAACGTGTCCCAGAGATTCTGGTACATTGTATCTTTGTTCTCACTGGTTTATTTGCAGATGACATGATTGTATATTTAGAAGATCCCATTGTCTCAGCCCAAATCTCCTTAAGATGATAAGCAACTGCAGCAAATTCTCAGGATACAAAATCAATGTACAAAAATCACAAGCATTCCTATACACCAATAACAGACAAACAGAGAGCCAACTCATGAGCAAACTCCCATTCACAATTGCTACAAAAAGAATAAAATACCTAAGAATACAACTTAAAAGGGATATAAAGGACCTCTTCAAGGGGAACTACAAACCACTGCTCAACGAAATAAGAGAGGACACAAACAGATGGAAAAAAAACATTCTATGCTCATGGTTAGGAAGAATCAATATCGTGAAAATGGCCATACTACCCAAAGTAATTTATAGATTCAGTGCTATCCCCATCAAGCTACCATTGACCTTCTTCACAGAACTGGAAAAAAAACAGCTTAAACTTCATATGGAACCAAAAAAGAGCCCACATAGCCAAGACAATCCTAAGTAAAAAGAACAAAGCTGGAGGTATCATACTACCTGACTTCAAACTATACTACAAGGCTCCAGTAATCAAAGCAGCATGGTACTGGTACCAAAACAGAGATATAGACCAATGGAACAGAACAGAGGCCTCAGAAGTAACACTACACATCTACGACCATCTGATCTTTGAGAAACCTGACAAAAACAAGCAATGGGGAAAGGATTCCCTGTTTAATAAATGGTGTTGGGAAAACTGGCTAGCCATGTGCAGAAAGCTAAAACTGGACCCCTTCCTTATACCTTACACAAAAATTAACTCCAGATAGATTAAAGATTTAAACATAAGACCTAACACCATAAAAAGCCTAGAAGAAAACCTAGGCAATACCACTCAGGACATAGGCATAGGAAAGGACTTCATGACTAAAACACTAGAAGCAATGACAACAAAAGCCAAAATAGACAAATGGGACCTAATCAAACTGCACAGCTTCTGCACAGCAAAAGAAACAGTCGTTAGAGTGAACCAGCAACCAACAGAATGGGAAAAAATTTTTTGCAAGCTACCCATCTGACAAAAGGCTAATATCCAGAATCTACAAAGAAGTAAAACAGATTTACAAGGAAAAAAAAAAAAAAACGTTTTTTACAAGAAAAAAACAAACAACCCCATCAAAAAGTGGGTGAAGGATATGAACAGACACTTTTCAAAAGAAGACATTTATGTGGCCAACAAACATATGAAAAAATGCTCGTCATCACTGGTCATTAGAGAAATGCAAATCGAAACCACAATGAGATACCATTTCACATCAGTTAGAATGGTGATCACTAAAAAATCTGGAGACAACAGATGCTGGAGAGGATGTGGAGAAATAGGAACACTTTTATACTGTTGGTGAGAGTGTAAATTAGTTCAACCATTGTGGAAGACAGTGTGGCGATTTCTCAAGGATCTAGAAATAGAAATACCATTTGACCCAACAATCCCATTGCTAGATATATACCCAAAGGATTATAAATCATTCTATTGTAAAGACACAGGCACACATATGTTCACTGTGGGACTGTTTACAATAGCAAAGACCTGAAACCAACCCAAATGTCCATCAGTGATTGACTGGATAAAGAAAATGTGGCCACATGTACACCATGGAATACTATGCAGCCATAAAAAAAGATGAGTTCATGTCCTTTGTAGGGACATGGATGAATCTGGAAACCATCATTTTCAGCAAAGTGACACAAGAACAGAAAACCAAACACCCCATGTTCTCACTCATAGGTGGGTGTTGAACAATGAGAACACATGGACACAGGGAGGGGAGTATCACACACCGGAGTCTGTTGGGGGTTGGGGGGTTAAGAGAGGGATAATGGGGGTGGGGATGTTAGGGAGAGATAACACTGGAAGAAATACCTGATGTAGGTGATGAGGGGATGAAGGCAGCAAACCACCATGGCATGTTTGTACCTATACAACAATCCTGCAATATGTGCACATGTACCCCAGGACTTAAAATATAATAAAAAACATCTGAAGCTATCTACCTACAGTATAGTTCTATTTTTCCCTTTGAAACAAGTTTTGTTGTTGGTTGTTGGTTTGTTTTTGAGACAGGGTCTCACTACGTTGCCCAGGCTGGGCTAGTCTTGAACTCCTGGGCTCCAGTGATGCCCTGCTTCAGCCTCTCAAAGCGCTGTGATTACAGACATGAGCTACCATGCCTGGCCCCCTTTGAAACAAGCTTTCACATGGCTTTTGATAATATGTGTTGTCTTTATTTCAGGAAGTACAACACCGTGTTATAGCAGAGAAGACTGCATGACTTTAAACATCACTACACAATGTACCCTCTAATAATATAAAGCATTTTGTCAATAAGAAGAGCTATTGCAATACATTTTGAGAATTGGAGGGCTTTGGATAATTGACAACTCTGTCATGCAAATTTGCCAAATCTTTACATCATCTACTACAGACTGTACGCTACTTTTGCTTAAAATTCTGCAGAAAAACAAGTCCTGCAATCCTCTAGGTTCACTATTCAAGGGTCCCATCACTCTTACAGAGGAAGTTCTTCCCAACTGCTAATCAAAATTTCACCTATTACTACTTTATATGATCACTCTAGAAACAATTGTTGGTAGTAAAATGTGTAACTTTGTGGCAAATACCAGTGCTTTCTTTCATGAATACCTAAATTTGTATTAAGAAAGAAATATATCAAATGCCAAGGAAAAAAGTTCCATAGCAGAAAAAAAGAAAAAAGAATATATCAAATACCAAGGAAAAAAGTTCCATAGCAGAAAAAAGAAAAAAGTTCCTTAGCAGAGTCCCTTAGCTCATCCCTGTCATACGGGATATTGAAATGGAAGAGCAGGAACTTCATCTGAGGTTTCAGTTCTCCTGTTTCTGTTGTGTGCTGGGGCAGGACAAAAGCAACTTCTGTTCTCATTGGCCCTGAAGAAAACCAGAATCAAGAGCACTAAGACCAATGAATACTGTAAAGGAGAGAAAATGGAGAGTCCTTTGAGACCACTGGAAGTAGGAGCTCCTCTACTGATGGGATGCCCATTCTGCTCCTTTCACAACATTTTCTGCCACAATTTATAGTCTGCACCCTACTCGGCCAGGTGGATCTGACAAATCCTTGGAGCTGGGCTTTGGTAAGAGGCAGCAAGGACTCCTTGCCATCTCACAGCCTACAGGAGAAACCCAACAGACCTTTTTGGGAATGACTTGGAACAGAATTACCTATAGTTTTTTTTGTGGTAAATGAAGAATATTATTTATAAATTTAACCAACAAATTAAAAGAAGGTGAAAACTTCACCTGCTTTCACCTGGCTGACTCTCCCTCATCTCTAAGGGCCCAGGTTGGACTCCCCTCCTTCAAGAAGCCTTCTCAGATGCCCCACAGCCAGGGTTGGCTGCCTCTCCCAGGCACTCCAGGGACACTCCGTGCATCCAAGCAAGAATGTCACTTTGTAGTAGAAATCTTGTCAGATTTCTTAGTCATCTGTAATACAAGGTAAGGGCATTAATTTGATTCAGATGAGGAAATTATTTTAGATTTGTGTAATATGAAAACTGGGGCTGGGCATGGTGACTCATGCCTGTAATCCCAGCACTTTGGGAGGCCGAGGCGGGTGGATCACGAGGTCACGAGTTGGAGATCAGCCTGGCCAACATGGCAAAACCCTGTCTCTGATAAAAATTCAAAAAATTAGCTGGACATGGTGGTGTGCGCCTGTAATCCCAGCTGCTCGGAAGGCTGAGGGAGCAGAATTGCTTGAATCTGGGAGGCAGAGGTTATAGTTAGCCGAGATCGCACCACTGCACTCCAGCCTGGGCAACAGAGTGGGACTCTGTCTCAAAAAAAATACATAATAAATATAAATAAAAATAAATAAAACTGGAAGGAGCCTTGGAGATCACTGGTTCTGAAAGGTTTATTATGGAGATGACCAAATAGAGGCCCAAGGAGATGAACTGCAGGCCCACAGGGAGCCAGGACAGGAACAAGCCTAGAGCCCAGTACTGTTGACTTCAAGTCCATCGTTTTCTCTCACTCTTCATTTGCTAATTATAGAGATTAAAACGTATCTAAAAAAGTGTTTGTTACTTTTTCCCATCAGAAGATATTAAGACTTGTTTACTAAGAATATAAAAAGTATATATAGAATGTATATATGTGTATATATAGAAGTATATATAGACAGTATATACATTCTATATATACCTTTAAGTATATAGAACAATTTTTAGCAGGATCATGGGGCAACCAGAATAAGTCTAAAACTATAATCTTCTTTGCTCCACATTATCCTAGGGGAAAGAAGACTAATTTCTTACCAAAAATGCTGGTATCCACAGAGTCAGGAGATGCAGAACCCTGAATGTCAGGGTCAATATCATTGACACAGACCTTTTCATTTTCCTGACCAACTTCAAGGACTTGGCTGGCAGCTACATTCAGCACTTTGGAGATTGGCAACTACTGGAGGGCCTATAGAAGGGCAAGACCAAGAGGCCAAATATCAACACAGTTCTCACAGAAGTTTCCAGACTCAGATTCGGGAGCAGCCCTTAGCTTTGGGAGAGAAGAGAAGTAGAGGTAGAGCCACTATCCAAAGATGAGGGGCTACATTTGGAGCTGGGAGACGTAGTACTGTTACTGATTCTGAATGGCCTTAACCTCCAGACAGGTCTGCTTTGATCAGGCACCCAAAATGACAAGGCACTGTGTGAGGTGCCAGGGATACAAAGAGGAATAAGACAGGATACAACCTCAATGAGCTCATGGTTCACTAGAAGATCCAGGCTTACAAGCAGATCATTAAAACACCATGTGACTGGGTTAGAAATGTATCAGAGGTAAAGCCCATCGTGACTTTATGTGGTACTTTGTGGGGTATGGGGAAAGGATGAAGCCAGGATGATGGCCAGTTTCTGATTTGGGCAATTCCGTGGGTGATGGTGTCTCTGAGCTAAGGCAGAGAGAAGTAGGAAAAGATGTGGGTAGAAAATCTTTCTGAAATGGAAGTGTGATCATGCTTCTCCTTTCTGATGCCTCTAGCCTGACTTAGGGGCTCTATGTGACTCTCTTTATCCTGTGCTTACACGTGTCCGGTTCTTTTTTACCCCCTTGTATTTCAGTTGAATATTTACCTACCCATCTCCTACCAGCCTAGGACCCAGTTACTTTTAGCAAAGGCCATATCTTTGCTGCATACCTAGGACAAGTACCTGGCACATATTAGACCCTCATTAAGCATTGCCTAATATTTAAAAAGTGGATATAAATCAGAGAGCATAAATCCTGAACAAAATGATGAAGACAAGAACTTACAGAATAAATAGGAAACAGTACAACAGAGACATCTTTGAGAATGCTAAATTAATTATTTCAGTAAAATAAAGTTTCAAAAGAAAAGTTGCAAATAATCAAGTTCTATCTTTGTATCTCTCTTAAAGAGAAACAAGTTGGTTTCTAAGGTTTCAAAGAAGAAATCCAGTGGTCCATTATTTTTCTGTCATTTGTAGGGCAGGTGGAGTCCTGAAACAGTGACAATCTAAAACTAAGTGACAGATAGGAGAAAACAATGTACTGATCATCCCTGCAAGGGTACCATATCATCACATCACTGGGTTTCACATACCCCTGCAGGTAGTGGTGCACAGTCCTGAGAGAGTGCAGGTGGCACACTAACCACTTTGTGTAAATAGTAAGATCTTTCTGTGTCACTAAGTTAGGAGGATTGTTTTTTCCCATAAGGAAGTTTCCTCGAGCAACAGACAATCTTTCAGCTCTCTGAAGGACATCATTATTCTCCTGCATAATGTAGCCAACTCGTTTCTGTTTAAGAGACACAAAGATAGAACCTGATTATTTGGAAGCCTTATGCTCTGCATCATTTGCTTCCAAGCATAGGGTAATGTTGTTTTGGGTCTAAATAAAGGGGCCCTTTGAATCCCAAAGTTCTTCCATATTCTAAATTTGACTTATAAGGGGTGGTCATATTCTTAGGACTTTGAAGGAGACAGACTCTAAGCAAAGAGTCCGTGCATAGGAATACTTACAACTGGAGTCAGCTTCTGAACTTTTGACCTAAAGCTGAGAAAGCCAAGTCTATGAAGAAAAATGTGTTTCCTCTCATACCAAACTTCCTTTAAATCTCATTCTTACGAGTAGATTACCTTTACCATTACCTACAGCCGTTGGTAGAACAGGTGAAAAGGCATATCCATTAGTTTATTTTCTATCTTTAGCTGTGACTTTTAAAAACTGACAAGCTTATTGGCCATTTTGTTTCAATATTAAAAAAATAGCCCAGAGGTTCTGTTCATAGACTTCCTACCTTGTAAAGAGGATAAAGTTGCTCCATGATCTTACTGTGTTGGCAAAACCTCTTCCACCTAAGCATGTGTAAATATTTACTCTGGACCAGCTGGGTAATTCTTTCTGCGTAATACTTTAACAAAAAGAAAAATAAGCACTTAGAGAACGAAGACTGAATAAAGTCTTAAGAAAACTAACAATAGGAAAATCAGTCTCTGGTTGTTTTGGAAAGATGTATTTTTCTACATGAAGACCATAAAATTAAGAAGTCTGGCTCGGCTGGGTGCTGTGGCTCATACCTGTAATCCGAGCATTTTGGGAGGCCAAGGCAGGCGGATCACCTGAGGTCAAGAGTTCGAGACCAGCCTGGCCAACATGGTGAAAACTAGTCTCTACTAAAAATACAAAAATTAGCTGGGCATGGTGGCAGGTGCCTGTAATACCAGCTACTTGGGAGGCTGAGGCAGGAGAATCACTTGAACCCTGGAGTCAGAGGTTGCAGTGAGCTGAGATTGCACCATTGCACTCTAGCCTGGGCAACAAAAGTGAAACTCCATCTCAAAAAAAAACATAGAAGTCTAGCTCAAGATAATATTCAAATTTAAATAACATAAGAAGACATTTCTAAGTTGTTAGGATCTGTTGCCAAGTAAATAGATTTAAGCTAATTTCTCAGTTACCGTACAATTTTAGCAGTGACATAAAAGTCTGTCAAGTTATCTAAAGCTGAGCTTAAAATTTTTTAATTAAAAACTGAAGTTGAGTCAAAAATACAGAGTACATTATAGGTAAGATTATAGCTTATAACCTCAGACCAGAAATTTTATTTATACTTAAAAATTATTAATTCTTTGCAAGATTTTCTTTCTGATAATAAATATAATACTGGCTATGATGGAATTACCAGAACCAGACTAACCCTTCTATCATAAACGACTAGAAAATTGGACACAATATAAAGGCAACTGTTTTCTGACATTGGACAACAGGCAATGCAGGGCTCTGGTCCCTGAGAGAAGGAAACAAATCATGTAGGCCCTGCAATCACCTTGGTTTCCTACCTGAAGGCAGTTTCTAAGCCATGGAGCAAGAAAGGGAATCATAAGCAGAGTAGGTGATCTCTCTGAGTTAAGGACAGAGACATTGAAATTTGGGAAATTGAGTCAGCTGAAGTTTACAGAAGAGAAGGAAGCTATGCAAAGAAAGGATTCTAGAACGCTGCATCGAGAACCCTTTCAGTCTGCTGCTGAATACTAAGCCATACATGTAGAAGGTGAAACTCCAGGAAGCTGTCCAAAAATTAACTGACTAGGGAATTATAAACTGAACAGTTCTGAGTTCATATGAGGCCGAGAGATGTTCAAGTCCAACCAGCTAGAGTGAGGGCTTTTCATTGAATATCTGGGACATTTAGTGGAGACATCAAAAGCTTTAGTAAAAGGATAAACTATGCCTAGAGTAATGATTATTCTAAACCTGCTCCAACAATCCTTAAGCCTTGAAAGGATTAAGCTGATCTGTAAGTAACTTAACTGCCTACCAGAATAAAGCCAACAATCTTTAAATAATACAAAAAAATCTGGTACTTAATAATGAAAAAGTGACAATTTTCAGCATTCAGTAAAAAATACTAGCTATGCAAAGAAAGAGGAAAGCATGATCCAAAAGCAAAAGAAAAATTAGGGGTGAGAAACAGGCCCAGAAATGACAGAGGTGATGAAAGTTACAAAAAAGAATTTTTAAAGAACTATTATAAATATGCTTAGCATGTTCAAGGATTGAAAGGAAAATGTGAACATAGGCTGATCACAGTGGCTCATGCCTGTGATCCCAGCACTTTGGGAGGCTGAGGTGGGAGGATCGCTTGAGGCCAGGAATTCAAGACAAGCCTAGCCAACATAGTGAAACTCTGTCTCTACTAAAAATAGAAAAATTAGCCGAGTGTGGTGGTGCGTGTCTGTAATCCCAGCTTGGGAGGCCAAAGCATGAGAATCACTTGAACCCAGGAAGCAGAGATTGCTGTGAGCTGAAATCAAGCACTTGCACTCCAGCCTGGGCAACAGAGTGAGACTCTCTCAAAAAAAAAAATTAAAAAAGAATAAGAAAAGAAAATGTGAACATAATACGGAAAGAAATGGAAACTATCAAAACAAATCAAATGGGAACTTCTAGAAATGAAAAATACAATACCTGAAATGAAACACTGACTGGATGGGATTAAAAGCAGATTCGATCATTCATAAGAAAAAGTTGATAAACTTGAAGACATAGCAGTAGGAACTATACAAAACAAAGCACTGGAGAGGGAAAAAGACTGAAGAAAATTAGTAGTCTTTAATGAGCTATGAAACAATATGAAGTGTTTAACAAATGTATAACTGGATTTCGGAAAGAGAAGTGCTGGCAGAAAATATATTTGAAAAAATCATGGTTGAAGTTTTTCAAAAACTGATAATAAAACCATAAACCCACAATCCAAGAAGTTCAACTAACCCCCAGCAAAAGAAACACAAAGAAAACTTCAACACACATCATAATAAAATATCTAAAAACCATTGATAAAAAAATCTTAAAAGCAGCCAGAGAATAAAATGGTACACTATGATCAGAAATAGAAACTACATACAAAAGAATGAAATCATGTCCTTTGCAGCCACATGGATGCAGCTGGAGGCCATTATCCTAAGTTAATTAATACAGAAACAGAAACCCAAATATCACATGTTCTCACTTATAAGTGGGAGCTAAACTTTGGGTACACATGGACATAAAGATGGGAACAATAGAAACTGGGAACTACTACAGAGGGGAGGAAGTAAGGGGGAGTAGGAGTTGAAAAACTACCTACTGAGTGCTATGCTTACTACCTGGGTGACAGGATCAATTGTACCTCAGTCTTCAGCATTACACAGTACACTCAGCTAACAAACCTGCATATGTACCCCTGAATCTAAAACAAAAGTTGAAAATATTTTAAAAAGAATAAAATATCAAAAAAAAGAAAGTTACTTGGGATTTTGTTGATAATGTAGGTTTTAATGTATCTGTGAAATGTAAAGACTTTTGCTGGTCAATGCCAGTGACCAAGATGAACCATGGAAACATTACACATTAGTCAGTTCTCACAATGCTAATGAAGACATACCCAAGACTGAGTAATTTATAAAGCAAAAGAGGTTTAATGGACTCACAGTTCTACATGGCTGGGGAGGCCTCACAATCAAGGCAGAAGGCAAAGGAGGGGAAGGGCACATCTTACATGGTGGCAGTCAAGAGGATGTGTGCAGGAGAATGCGGCTTTATAAAACCATCAGATCTCATGAGACTTATTCACTATCATGAGAACAGCATGTGTAAGACTGGTGCCTATGATTCAATTACCTCCCACTGTGTCCCTCCTATGACATATGGGAATTATGGGAGTAATAATTCAAGATGATATTTGGTTGAGGATACAAGCCAAAGCATATCATTCAGCCCCTGGCCCCTCGCAAACCTCATGCCCTCACATTTCAAAACCAAACATACCTTCCCAACAGTCCCCCGAAGTCTTATTTCATTTCAGCATTAACTCAAAATTCCACAGTCCAAAGTGTCATCTGAGACAAGGCAAGTCCCTTCTGCCTATGAGCCTGTAAAATCAAAAGCAAGTTAGTTACTTCCCATATATAATGGAGGTAGAGGCATTGGGTAAATGTACCCACTCCAAATGGGAGGAATTGACCAAAACAAAGGGGCTACAGGCCCCATGCAATTCTGAAATCCAGCAGGGCAGTCAAATCTTAGAGCTCTAAAATAATCTCCTTTGACTTCATGACTCACATCCAGGTCACACTGATGCCAGAGATGGGTTCCCACGGTCTTGGGCAGCTTTGTCCCTGTGGTTTTGCAAGATACAGTCCCCCTCCTGACTGCTTTCATGGGCTGGCATTGAGTGTCTGCAGCTTTTCCAGGTGCACAGTGAAAGCTGTCAGTGGATCCACTATTCTGGGGTCTGGAGGATGGTGTCCTTCTTCTCACAGCTGTACTAGATAGTGCCCCAGTGGGGACTCTGTGTAGGGGCTCTGACCCCACATTTCCTTTCCACATAGCTCTAGCACAGGTTCTCCATGATGGCTCTGCCTCTGCAGAAAACTTTTGCCTGGACATCCAGGCACTTCCATACATCATCTGAAATCTAAGTGGAAATTTCCAAACCTCAATTCTTGACTTCTGTGCACCTGCAGGCTCAACACAATGTGGAACCTGTCAAGACTTGGGGCTTGCACTCTCTGAAGCAATGGCCTGAGCTCTACATTGGCCCCTTTCAGCCACACCTGGGACTCAGGGCACCAATTACCAAGACTACACAATGCAGCAAGGCCCTAGGCCCAGCTCAGGAAACCATTTTTCCCTCCTAGGCCTCCAGGCCTGTGATGAGAGGGGCTGCCATGAAGACATCTGACATGCCCTGAAGACATTTTCCTCATTGCCTTGCCAATTAACATTTGGCTCCTTGTCATTTATGCAAATTTCTGCAGCCAGCTTGGATTTCTCCTCAGAAAATGGGTTTTTCTTTTCTATCACATCATCAGACTGCAAATTTTCTGAACTTTTATGCTCTGCTTCCCTTCAAAACATAAGTTCCAAACTACATCTTTGTGAATACATAAAATGGAATGCTTTTAACAGCACCCAACTCATCTCTTGAAAGCTTTGCTGCTTACAAATTTCTTCCACCAGAGGCCCTAAATCAGGCGTCCCCAAACTACGGCCCACGGGCCGCATGCAGCCCCCTGAGGCCATTTATCCGGCCCCCCGCTGCACTTCAGGAAGGGGCACCTCTTTCATTGGTGGTCAGTGAGAGGAGCACAGTATGTGGCGGCCCTCCAACGGTCTGAGGGACAGTGAATTGGCCTCCTATGTAAAAAGTTTGGGGACGCCTGCCCTAAATCATCTCTCTCAAGTTGAAAGGTCCACAGATCTCTAGGGCAAGGGCAAAATGCCACCAGTCTCTTTGCTAAAACATAGCAAGAATCACCTTTGCTCCAGTTCCTAATAAGTTCCTCATCTCCATCTGAGATCACCTCAGCCTGGACTTTATTGTCCATATCACAATCAGCATTTTGGTCAAAGCCCTTTAACAAGTCTCTAGTAAGTTCCAAACTTTCCGACATCTTCCTGTCTTCTTCTGAGCCCTCCCAACTGTCCCAGCCTCTGTCTGTTACCCAGTTCCAAAGTTTCTTCCACATTTTCAAATAACTTTACAGCAGTACCCCATTCTATCCTCAAAGGAGATCATTTTGGAGCTTTAAGATTTGACTGCCCTACTGGATTTCAGAATTGCATGGGGCCTGTAGCCCCTTAGTTTTGGTCAATTCCTCCCATTTGGCGTGGGTACATTTACCCAAATGCACAAATTTACTGTATTAGTCCATTATCATGCTGCTAATAAAGACATATCCAAGACTGGGCAATTTATAAAGGAAAGATATTTAATTGACTCACAGTTCCACATGGCTGGGGAGGCCTCACAATCATGACAGAAGACGAAGAAAAAGCAAAGGGAAGCCTAACATGGTAGCAGGCAGGAGGACATATGTAGGTGAACTCTCCTTTATAAAAACATCAGATCAGCTGGGCATGGTGGCTCATGCCTATAATCCCAGCACTTTGGGAGGCCAAGGTGGGTAGATCATGAGGTCAGGAGTTCAAGACCAGCCTGGCCAAAATGATGAAATCCTGTCTCTACTACAAATACAAAAATTAGCCAGGCATGGTGGCAGATGTCTGTAATCCCAGCTACTTGGGAGGCTGAGGCAGGAGAATTGTTTGAACCTGGGAGGTGGAGGTTGTAGTGAGCCAAGATCTTATTATTATAAGAACAGCATGGGAAAGACCCACCCCCATGATTCAATTACCTCCCACTGAGTCCCTCTCACAATACATGGAATTATGGGAGCTACAATTCAAGATGAGATTTGGGTGGGGACACAGCTAAACCATATCACATTAGTTCAAGTAAGCAAATGGTTAGAGGTTGACAGAAAAAAAAAAAAAAAAAAAACTTAAATCAGTAAAATGCTCTTTCCTGTTATGACATATATTTGAATTTCCTTTTAGCTTATGAATAAACATATGTACTTACATAGAGCAGTGACAAAAGTCAAACTATTCCACGGTTTTAAAATGGCATGTTTTATACTCTTTTTGTATAATTAATATTAATTGCAAAAATGTGTGTAAACTAAATCTCAATGAAAATAATGCTGTTGCCAGGTGCGGTGGCTCAAGCCTGTAATCCCAGCACTTTGGGAGGCCGAGGCGGGTGGATCACGAGGTCAAGAGATCAAGACCATCCTGGTCAACATGGTGAAACCCATCTCTACTAAAAATACAAAAAATTAGCTGGGCATGGTGGCACGTGCCTGTAATCCCAGCTACTCAGGAGGCTGAGGCAGGAGAATTGCCTGAACCCAGGAGGCAGAGGTTGTGGTGAGCCGAGATCGCGCCATTGCACTCCAGCCTGGCTAACAAGAGTGAAACTCCGTCTCAAAAAAAAATAAATAAATAAAAAATAAAGAAAATAAAGCTGTTACCTTGAAAAGGAAAAAAAAAAAAAAAAGGAAGAAAGAAAGAAAATAATTGGAAACTATATAAGCCAAAGGCAAAAGCAATAAAAAAACCCCACCAACCCAGAATTCTATGTTGAACAAAAATATCTTTCCAAAATGAAGGGGAAATACTTCAAAACAACAAAGACTATGAGAATTTGTCCCTGGTAGACCTGAACCACCAGAAATGCTAAAGAAAATTCTTCAGAGAGAAAGCAAATGATATCCTATGCAAGTTTAGATAATACTAGTTTCTCAACATCAGCAACTATTGACATTCGGTACTAGATAATTATTTGTTGTGAGAGGCTACCCTGTGCATTGTAGAATGTTTAGCAGTTTCCCTGACGTCTACTCAATGCTAGTAGCAACCAGTCATACCCCTCACCCAAATTGTGACAACAAGAAATAGCCCCAGACATTTCCAAATGTCCCTTGAGGCACAAAATATCTTCTATCTCTACCCCTCCTTTCTCTCCATTGAGAAACACTGATATACACAAAGGAATGAAGAATGCCAGAAGTGACTGGAAAGAGAATCCTGAATGAAAACAATGACAACAGTTTAACTTGCAAATAGCATCTCAATATCTTTTGTTTCTTTGTGATTAATTTAATAGTTAATTCCTAACTAGTTGCTAAAGAACTAATTTGTATGCATAGATAACATAGCAATAGAGAACAAGCAATTTTAAAATTGAAATAATATATACTTCTTACAGAAAATTTAGCAAACATATAAAAGTAGAAAGGGGAATTTCATTATCCTGCCATCCAAACACAACATTCATTAACATTTGGTCTAAGTCTGTCAAGTGATTTTTTTTTTTTCCTATACATACTTGACCTTTATTATGACACACATACACACACACTCATTAGTTTTTATTAACTAATACTTCATATATAATTATTCCTTACGCATGGTGGCATATAAGGAATGCCACCATGCGTAAGGAATAATCATATATTAAATAAGGAATTATATATGAAGTATATATAATAATTTTATTTTAACATTAGTTAAAAGAAAAACTTTAGGCAAATTAAATTTAACAGAGTTTAAGCAAAGAACAATTCATGAATTGGGCCGTCCTCCTAGCCCCCAACCAGAGTAAGTTCAGAGAGTCTAGCACTGCTGCACAGTGAAAGAGGATTCATGGACAGAAAAAGGAACGTGAAGTAACGGAAAACAGAAGTGAGGTACAGAAACAGCCAAATTGGTTAGAGCTCAGTGTTTGCCTTATTTGAACAGTTTGAACAGCTGGCTGCTTGCGGGTGGCTGAAGTATGGTTTCTGTGATTGGCTAGACTCAGTTACTTTTTAAAAGAGTAGGTTACAGTCTATTTACAGTCCAGTTAGGTTACAGGTCACTATGTAGGGAGACCAAGGTTTCTGAACTTACGAGGAGGACAGCTTTAAGTGAAACTTAATTTAACAATAAAAAATGTTTAATGGCAGAACAATATTCTACCAAGTACTATAATGTTTTCCTTAACTCTTTCTCTTATTGGTGGATATTTAGGCAATTCTAATTTTTAGATTTTAACATAATGCTGCAATAATAATCTTTAAGGAAACTCTTTTTCCCATGTCTTGAGATATTTTCTTAATAGAAATTTCCAGGGCCAGGCACAGTGGCTCACACCTATAATCCCAGCATTTTGGGAGGCCAAGTCAGGCAGATCACTTGAGGATAGGGGTTCAAAACCAGCCTGGCCAACGTGGTGAATTAAAATAAAATAATTTTTTCTCAGAAATGCCTTCTTTAGGTTACCAAATCGCTTTTCTTTTCTTTTCTTTTTTTTGTGACAGAATCTGAGCTTGCAGCAACCTCTGCCTCCTGGGTTCAAGCGATTTTCTTGCCTCAGCCTCCTGAGTAGCTGGAACTATAGGCGTGTGCCACCATGCCCAGCTAAGTTTTGTATTTTTAGTAGAGACAGGGTTTCACCATATTGGCCAGGCTGGTCTTGAACTCCTAACTTCAAGTGATCTGCCCGCTTCAGCCTCCCAAAGTGCTGGGATCACAGGCATGAGCCACCATGTCTGGCCATAGCCAATAGCTTTTTAAGGGCTGGAACTGTCCTAGTCAATGTCAGATTTCCCTATATTATCAACACAGAAAGTATTTAGTAGAAATTCAGTCAATTGTTTGGTTCCTTTAAGCCAAATTTAAAACTATGGAATAGATCTCTAACAAAGAATAGCATTTTCACTTACCAAGTTCTGCAAACTAAACATGTCGAGGAAAAAAAAACCTACCCTAGCCAAAGGATATACCTGAAAGCCAGCTTTGTCCATACATTTCTACTAAATTTCAGATGAATTTTTCAAATTGCAAAATCACTTTTACCTGCAACAGAAGCAAAGGTAAATTTTCAGGGGTGTACTCTCTTCTTAGGCAGCTCTCTAGCTCCCTCTGCATGACGTCTGCCTGAACAGCAAGGGGCTCCGACTCAGCCACCTAAACCCAAATAACTAGTTTTAACATTCTAAATTAAAGAACTGTAAAATTTCAAATATCACAGAATCAGATATTTCCAAGGAAATAATGGCCTGCTCTGATCCAGTGGTTAGGCTGAATAGTGGACTGCCCTCTTCTTACAAATACTGGTAATAGCATCAGCTGTTTGTCTGCAAAAATAAACTGTCTCTGCTAAAAGTTACCAAGTCAGCAAAATCAAACTTACTGTTGTATTGAAATAGCCCACTCTCCTACTCACCTGTAAGGCTTTCTTCAGTGCCACTTCCCTCTCTCTTCTGAAGTAATAAATGTCCTTTGGCATTTGAACAGAGCTGCAGAAAGATTTATGCAATAGAAGTGGTAATTACAGAAGCTGTAATAGACCAGATTATAGATAGACCATGATTAATCTGTAACTCTTCACAACTGCTAATTTCTGAATAAGTATATCATATTATACTGGATTATTGAGGGCATGCAAAGGCCACATCCTTTTGCTTTTGGTCAGAATCTTTTTTGATTCTTCTTTGATTAGCATGTTTGCTAAACCTTTCCCTGGGTCAATTCTCTCTCCTCTCCATACAAACATAGTATGTCTGTCTACTCTTGATTCACCTCACTATTTCCTACTGCAGAGTATAGGGAGGGACACAATAGTGAGGATTTTTATTTCCCCACCTGTCCCTCCAGCAACCTTATCTCTGACAAATATTGTGCCTATCAGATCCCATTTTCACCTAATTGTGACACAAAACCAGTTTTGTGTAATTCAAAACAAAATGCTTTTACTTTTGTGTTCTTGATGAATTATCTGCTGGGGGGTGGGGAATAACTCTTAAGTATTAAACATGAAATTCTTCAGGAATTATTTTAACCAAACTGACTGCTTTAGGAAAATTACTGATTCCTAGGAAAAACATTTATAGCAGAAGTGCCTGTTTAAGCAGCCTTGTGGATTCCCATCCATGCCCAGTTATGAAGGAGTTGTTGTTTTTACCATGGACTCTGATACAAGCAGGCACAAGCTGTGGAATCACCTGTTAAGAGGGTAGGACCCTGGGTCAGGAACAGCAGAGTGCTCCACATTAGGGATAAGATATATCCCAAGGTTTGGCAGCTTTGGAAACATCAGGAAACAGCAACCCTGATGCAGACAATCACTTTCTCAAGATAGTATTTTGCGGACATTGGTAAGGGGCCACAGCGGGTCATTCCGGAACGCAGGTGAGAAACCACCTAGAGATTATGAAGGAGGTGTAAGCAGTGACATTTAGGTTAATATTGTTCATATGGCCCTATCAGTTTCCAGGTAAGTTTTAAGGGAAGATAAAAATACACTGTTGGTTTGTACACTTGCCAGCAGTTTCCCTCACTGCAGGCAGTGGTTCTGTGAAAAGAATCCCAGGCTGACAGTCAAGAAATCCATCAGCCAAGTGAGCCTCAGCAACCCATTTAGACAAATTGTGTCAAATTTCCACCCCTGAGGTTGGAGATAATGCCCCTCTTATTTCCTAACATCTTGGCTTTAATGGAGGAAGAAAAAAAAAAAGAGAGAGGAGCTCTGAAAGGGTTTTGAGAATAAAAGCAGTAATAAACATAAGGCATAATTTCTGTGATTACTGAAACCTGGTTGCAGCCTTGTGGCTGTGGGGAATGAGTAATGAACCAAAAAAGGGATTAGTTATTACCTTATTACCAGGCAGTTAGAGAAACAGAAGAAACTTTCCCCTACCCTCTTGTTTCCTTATCTTTGGCATACTGGGAGATGGGGAGGGTCATGGGCTTAGCTACTCTGCCCCTCTCTTACTCAGATCTTGTCTTTCCTCTCAGTGAACCTCCAAGAGCCTGTGAATGACCCAGAAGAGACTGGTGTACATAAATAGTATATACATCAACCTGCAAAAAGAGATTTACTCATATGTTCATCAAGCATTGTTCATGCAACATACATTCATTCATTTATTCATTCAGCAAGAATTTATGAAAGAACCACTGCAAAGTCTTGGGTTTGTGTAGTAAAACGAGGGAAAAGATGAAAAAAAAAAAAAAAAAGGAAGGAAGGAAAAATGAATAAGACACACAGTTCTCCTGAAGACTTCAATAGATTTTTTTCAGGCTACTAGAATGAGAATGTTAAAGTGAATATCAGGAGTAGATATTTCCATATCCCTTGGACTCTGGAACCTAGCACGGCTCCTGGAAAACAGAAGGTGCTCAAGAAGTAATTGTTAGACTAACAGATTCTTCTATGTGCAGTGTTGTGTGATTTGGGGGAATAGACAAATAAGGCTATCGAGGATTTCCCGTCACTGTATTCTAAGAGACATCAGAAAGCCTTTCTTATCCCAGTGTACACTGGGGAGCCACTTGCCTGACATTCTGACATTTAAATCACAATAATATCAACACTTGATCTTTGCATTGTGTTTTCTTGTTTAAAAATACTTTGACGTGCATCATGTCATTATCCTCACGACCTTAGGTAGATAGGCAAGGTATATATTTTTAACCTTGTTTTTCAAATAAAGAAACCAAAGTTGAGAGAAATTATGACTTGCATGGTTCCATGATCTTTCCATCTCATCACACAATCTGATTGGCTTCAGACACCTAATGGTTTTAAATACTAATTTAAAAATATATGAAAGCCTGGTTCTTCAGAATTGTCTTTGGGATGAAATACTAATTTACCTTGCTTACTGCATCTTCTGACCTCTCCCAACCTCTCACCACCCACATTGTGTTTTCTCAATTATTCAGCCTACCATGGTTCTCATACTGTTTCTTTTGATCAGTTGTGGCAGTAACAAAAACAGAGGTCCTGGGCCCATGAGACTTGCCATCAGGGGCTGATCTGTGTCTCCTGTTTCTCTATAAGAACTTGATCACTGTTGTCAGCAGCATTTACCTATAGAAGAGCTCCTAATGAAACAGGCTGGTGGGCTTCCGGCTGTGATCTGCTCTAGAGAAGAACAGAAGCCCCAACTGAGGTTCTAGCTTACCTAACTCTCCGCAAATCAGTAACGAAAGATCCAAGAAATTATTAACAGCAAGTTCCTACTTTGGGGGGCTAGAGACTTCCGTGAAGTCCCACATGTTAGAACTAAAACTCAACCTACAGTTATCTCTTCCTCATTTTTGTGCTAAGAATAACATGTCGGGTGAAGATTTAAAATACTAATGCTACATCTGATGTATCAAGAAGCATGTTGAGCCACTGCGCAAGCACTAGAAAAACCCCTCCTATATATGCCCTGATGTAACCCTTCTGTGTCGAAAGATCCTATAAAACTAACCCATACACTACCCTACGGGAGCAGCTCTTTCTGTTTCTGTTCTTGGTGCTGGCTCCCTTGTGCGCAAGCTGATATAAACTTCACTTTGCTGCTCTGCTTGGTGATCTCTCTTGATTTCTATCCTGGGAGACAGCAAGAATCCACAGTGCTGGTAACACTTACAGAACATTGTTTTGCATAATGTATTACCAAATACCTAGCATTATTTCAGCTTTTAAATTTCTCACCAAAATCAAAATCAAATTCAATTAAAATATTATTGGGTAAAATGAGATCTCTTTTCATTAAGTATGATTTGTATTATAGCTTCTGTAACTTTAAGACAATAGCGTTAGTGAACATGTGAAAACATGTTTACATTTTCTTTGGTAAGACATTTGCTTGGATCTGTCTTAACAAATCTAGAATATAGAAAAATCTTAGAGGCAGCAATCAGATTAGAAATGGGTACCTGAAACTGCCATTGTATACTATTTATCTGAACTTGAGATAATGTCAATTGTCCAGGTAAAAAGAAGAGAGGGCGCTGATGGAGATCATGGTGTGAGAGTGAGGGGTAAAGCCCCTGAAGATCACACCTTCTCACTGCCACTATTTACCTGTAAACTTGATTAGCTGTTCCTGGAAGAGCTCCCAGTTCTTCCATCTCAGACCTCAGTTCAGTCAGTTGCACAGCCAGTTTTTTCTCCAATAACTGGACTCTTTCTGTGGAAGTGATCTTGTAAATTTCATCCATGATTTGCCTTTGCTGTCCTTCTGTATCCCTGAAAAAGAGGATCACAAAGCTTGATGTCCTCAGTGACCATTAACCAGCATGTGGAACTTAGTCTATCTTTGTCCAATAAATCATGTCTACTCTGTAGTAATGCATGCTTTTGCAATTTGAAGAAACAGCCAGGTTAGACTGTTTGTGATTTAATTAACATCTAGTAAACAGTAGAGAAAAAGTAGGTTAGAATCTCCACTGGCCATGCCTTTGATTAGCCCAGTTCACCTTCAAAAATATCTCTGTTCTGGCTCTGTCTCTTGAGGTTTAATAAGTGAGAATGCAACCCCCCCCCACCACCCCTCACCTCTGCAATCCCCACAGACAAATGTTTGTGGGGATTACACACTAACTGCTGTGAATGGCAGTTATTGCTGACTTCTAATAGAAAATTGTACTTATGCATTTGAATGTGTTTTCTTAATTTTGACTGCCTACATTTTGCATACAGGTTTTACCATTAAATAGCAGCTGATAACTTCCCCAGCTTACCTTGTTCACAGTCTGTTAAATTCAACATAATTGTTTAGTAAGTACTTAGTGTTAACATTCTAATTAACAATGTATATTAACTGCATGACTCAGAAGTCCTGGGACCCATAAATTGCAGGGGATTCAATAGATGAAGTATTTCCTTGTATTACTGCTGACCTCACCTGTCCTGGACAAGTAGGTTAAGTCTTTCTAAGGCCACATTAGAGAGATTTAAAACACTTAAACCTTCTTTTTTTCCTCTGATATTTCTAGATTCTCATCTTTTCTTTCAGAGATATTTCATTTTTTCAAGTTAATCTGCTGTCATTTCAACAAATAATTATTCTGTAGAGATGTTTTGTATAGAGGCTTCCTTTGGGAGCCCATTTATTCTTTTTCTCAATATATTAAAAATGGAAATGAGC